CGAATCATAATTTTCATCACTAGCGCCCAATGTGGAATGGGCTAGTAGGCCCGACCCAACTAAGACTGGAATAGGCTGGTAGGCTCAATCCAACTAAGAAACATAACGACGTCGTTAGTCTAAGCGCAACGGTTAGCGACAGTTTTAAAACCGCCTCTAATTCTTAAATTCTGGAGGGAAGATCAGAGCCAGAAACGGAAGCGCAGAAAAAATGGGACGCCGACGCACACTCTGTATTCTGTTTTGCTTTCTAAATCTTCTAATTCTGGAAATCGTTGTCGCAGTCCAGATTCTCTCAAAGTCGAAGCTCGAGAAGTGTGAGAAGAGTACTGCCGCCGCCGACGGCCACTTGAACTGCACCACCAAGATCGTCCTCAACATGGCCGTTCCTAGCGGTTCAGTAAGCATTCTCCTTTACCAAATCGAATTAACGACACGACCTACGACGTGATCGGAGAAAATTTGTTTGAGATTTCAAGTTTTAGTTCTCATAAACTTGTTTTCTATCATTTTTTTTTCACTAATGATGGATTGAATTATATTTACGGTTTTCTAGAGTGGAGGAGAGTCCTCCATTGTTGCAGAAGTAGTGGAGGTGGAGGAGAATTCGACGAACAAAATGCAGACATTTCGGATACCTCCGGTGATAACCGTCAACAAATCTGCCGCATATGCGCTGTATCAATTGACATACATACGAGTACGGAACCTTTTGAATAATAACTTTTACATCGTTTTATATGTTATTCTATCCAACAATTTGTGTTTGTTCACAAATTTTCCAGGATGTTCCTTATAAACCTCAAGAATTATATGTTAAGACTCGCAAGTGTGAGCGTGATGCTGGTGCTGATGTTGTGAAGATATGTGAGAGGCAATGTTCCATACTTTTCCTCTTCTCTGAATAATTTTGAAGTTATATATTGCTTTGTCCATTTTTCTAGTGAAGATATGTGAGTTTGTTTGGATTTGTCAGGTTTTGAACTTTCAATCAGATTATTTGTTCATATAGAAAGAATTTCCTGTTTAGAGCGATTGGATTGTGAGGGAGCCCCATTATCAAGGGCTTGCTCTCATCCAATGATTAAAATGATGTAGTTTGGAGCAGTTTAGACTGCACAACACTTTTTTCGATATATTATGTAAAATTTCTAGTGATTTGGTCTTTCTATGGTCTTTCTATGGTCTTTCTATCGTGTGTTTTGAGTGGCTTCTAGTATCTATTTCTGTAGGTTGCGAGACGAGGATGGTCACATCATTGAACATACTGAGGTTGGAATTCTAGGTTCTTATCTCTCTCATTTCTTCTTTAACCACATATTGTTATATTTTTTTTATGAGATTTTTCTTATTCCTTCATCTTCTCTGTTCTCCTTGTACAGCCAATATGTTGTCCTTGTGGGCCTCAAAGGCGAGTACCATCATCATGTGGAAATTTCTGTATGTGATCTCTATATTTTTCAGCTTCTCAAATTCTTCATTCTGATATAGACTATTTTCTGTTGATTGACTCATTTATTTTGATTAGTTGACAAAATGCTCAAAGGAAAGGCTAATACTGCACATTGTCTCCGATTTCCAGGTGATTGGTATGGCCTTTTGGCAAAGCTCTTTTAGCATTTCTTCCCCTTATGTGTGAATCCTCTTTTGGTTGGCTTCTTTTTCTTTCAGTGAGAAATTTTGTGACAATAAACAATATTACCACACTCAGTGACTTCTGCTCAATTATCTACAATAAACTTTTGGTGAATGTAAACTAGATAAGTTCATGGAAAAGAAATTGTTTACTGCTGGGTGGTGATAGTCTGAGAAGATGTTATTCCCCCATGATAATTGGGAAGCCCATTGTCTGGATGTCGTTACATGCTACTAGGCCTACAAGTTTAATTGTATAAATTGATATATCTGTTGTAAATAATAGCAAATTTTTTTATGCACTTAGGTTCCATGTTTATGGTATTGGACAGCAGTCACTAGGATTCAGTGTCCGGATTGAGGTGAAGACTGGATCTAAAGTTTCGGTATGTTTTTCCAATGTTATTTATGGTATTGTTCGTCTTTCTTCTGTGATTATGTTTTTGCTATGGTTGCTCAAAACAGATTCTTAATAGTTTGGCTTGTTTCAAAATGGCTCCCCTGGACATAAACTGTTTGTTCTTATTAAACATAAGAAAACACTTGTATCATGACACTAAAAAATGCTTTTTGGAAATTTGTTTCTGTTTTAGTAGAGTTATTGTCTTCATTTGTCACCAATTCATTATTCTTATTCCAAGTGTTCTCCATTTGTTGCCTATATTCTATTGGGTTGAAACATGGATTAACTTTAGGCTCATAAATGCCTATCAAACAATTCGTTGATTGTTTAGAATTTTCTTTCTTGATTGAGAGGCATTTACTTTTGTTAATAGGAAGTGATAGTTGGTCCAGAAAATAGAACAGCAATGTCCAATGACAATTTTCTAAGGGTGAGTTTAGTTGGAGACTTTGTTGGATACACAAATATTCCGACATTTGAGGACTTCTATCTTGTCATTCCAAGGCAGGTATATGCTTGCATCAGAGAAATTATATTTGTACATTGTCAGAAAATTATTCTTGTCAACTCATCTGAGGTGGTTTTGGAATTGAAAAGAAACTGACATAATCATGTTAATGGAAACTTGTGCCAAACTTATAAAAGCATCTAAGGGTAGGCACTAAGCCCTGCTTGGTAATTCATCTGAGAAAATTTCTTCTTCATGTTGTGGAAGGGTGGTCCAGGTCAACCTGAAAACTTGGGAATGAATTACTCTATGTGGATGCTGCTTGAGAGAGTGAGGTTTACTTTAGATGGTGTTGAGTGTAACAAAATTGGGGTCACTTATGAGGCTTTCAATGGTCAGCCAAACTTCTGCTCTTCACCATTTTGGAGCTGCTTGCACAATCAGTTGTGGAATTTCTGGGAAGTTAGTAAAATTTCTAATATTTCATGAATTGCTTTTTCAGTGGGTTTTTTTGGTTAATGTCAGGTGAATCAATTTCAAAATTGAGACTGTTTCTTTTACTGTTCTCTAAAAGTCGGTATTTATTGCTGTATGTCTCGTTATATGGAATTAATTTCGTTAGTTGCACAAGCATGTCAAACAACTCACAAGTTTTTGCTAATTTGACGTGTAGTCACATGTTGACTCAGACATAATAGACTGAGTTGAACAATAATCTTATTATCTAGTTTAGTAAGACGGGAAGTCTTCTCCCATGTTTGAAATGATGAATATTTTATGTGTTTGATTAGTTTTCAACTGATGACATTGGTTAAGTTTTCATCTACTAGTTGGAATGAATTTAGAAGGATCTTCCTTATTTTTGACAGGCTGACCAGAATCGAATCAGTAGGAATCAAGTGCCACTGTATGGTGTGCAAGGGAGGTTTGAAAGGATAAACCAGCATCCAGTTATGTTTTTGCAACTGTGAAGTTCTCATTTGCAAGTATGTCTTGGGATCATCTGATGGTTTTTTGATTTTCATGCAGAATGCAGGGTCTCATTCATTCTCCATAGGAATCACTGAAGTCCTTAACACAAACCTATTGGTAGAAATAAGTGCTGATGATATAGAATATGTTTATCAGAGGTAATGTTAATTTTGGTGCCACTAATTACTAACACAAATGACTTATTTTAAGCTTTTTTTCTGTTTGATGTTATTTGAAGGCATTCTTAATTTGCTAGTAATTGGTTTATCATGGAAGATGGATTTGCAATTTTTGTTTTATCAAGTCCTGTCATATTTTTCTGTTTTTTTTTAGTTCTCCCATGTTTGTAAGCTTTATTTCAACTCTGATGCCTGAATTGCTCAATGGTAATTATCTAAGTTCTGAGATATGAAACTGCAGATTGAATTTTTGAACACTTGCAGCTTAGATCTTTCACCGTGGCATAGTACTTGAGCATGTTGAATTGCCCCATGTAATGATTTTTCTTTCTGTTAAGTAGCTAGAATTTTGGTGTTGATTACCAAACTGCAAACCATACATGGAAAATAAAAGGGGCATTTGAACAGTGTTTACTGTAAATATTATTTGGTAACTGGGGCAACCACCTTGTTCATTTTTGCTAGTGCAAATGAGCATTGAATTTTTTTTTTTCTTTACTCTTTTCCAACAAATTTATATGTTTTATAGATTTTCCACTTTCTTATAACTTATAGGAGTCCTGGAAAAATCGTAAGTGTCACAATACCCACATTTGAAGCCCTCACTCAATTTGGAGTTGCCACAATCACAGCTAAGAATACTGGTGAAGTGGAAGCATCATATAGCTTAACGGTATCTGTATTCTCAAACTCATGTCTGTCATGATTTCATCGTAATGCCAAAAAATTTAATATCTGTTCTTGGTGCTTTAAATTGCTTTCTGTTGTTTTGGTTACACCTATTTCAATTATGTAGTTATTAGATTCTAAAATGTAGCAATAGTGTTGGCTGATCTCTGGTTAGTGGTTACGTTCATCATGAAGATGTTATGTCTAGAACTTTGAAGAGTATGCTTTCGCTGATGGACTTAATATTTCGTTTCATAACTTCAAGTTAATTAGCAAATCTGAAGTTAACTCAATGGTATAGCCTGAGGAAGGAAGTATATAAAACTAAAATGAAACGTGGAAGCAGACTTCAATAAAAGATGTTTAAATGATACTCAGCTGTATTGTATTCACTGCTATAGATGGATTGCTATTTCTACTTTTCTATAACTTCTGCTCTAACGGATTTATCCTATCACAGTTTGACTGCTCAAAAGGAGTTGCACCTATGGAGGTATTCTTTTTCAAAATTGTTGTGTGTTTTTTTACTATCATGATGGTAATTCGTTAAGAATTATTGATTCTTGCAGGAGCAATTCTTCATAATGAAGCCAAAAGAGATTTCAACTCAATCATTTAAGCTCTATCCAACCACAGACCAAGCAGCAAAATATGTTTGTGCAGGCAAGATTAAGGGTTTTGCTCTTTTTACTCATGTTTTACATGAAATCACAAGAGGTTTTGCTCTTTTTCCTCTCGTGTTTTACATGAAATCACAAGAGATAATAACTCTGCCAAATTTTTTGTGCTGAAATGCAGCTATATTAAAGGACTCTGATTTTAATGAGGTTGATAGAGCCGAGTGCCAGTTTACTACTACAGCTACTGTTCCGGATAATGGATCACAGGTCTTGGATGGTTCCTTCTATTCACTTGGGAAGTTTATGCTAATAAATGTTTTAATGCAAAAGGACCACAACTCACTTGACTCATGAATTTGTTTCAGATTAATCCCTTTCAACCACCAAAGATGGGAATAAATGGTATCTTTGAATCTATCAAAAACATTTGGCGAAAACTATGGGAAGCTCTGGTAGATTTCATCACTGGCAAAACTTGCAGGTACTTGTCCCAAGGGGTAAATTTTCTATTGACATCTTCAAGTGGATGTAGGGTTGCCGTTTGCCCTATTTGCTACAGATGTCTTGAATTTGTTTAGGACAGGCTGATAAAAAAGGTGTTTAGTACAGGTTGAACTATCAGCAATAAGGTCTTAATGAATATTTACAGAATCTAGAATTACCTTATCATATTGTTTGCTTAATAATTAGTTTCTACAGTTACTGTAATAATATTGCATGTTTTCACCATTTTAATTTTGAAAACAGAAGGAAATGCTCGGGGTTTTTTGACTTCAGCTGCCACATGCAGTATGTATGTATGAGTTGGATACTGCTCTTTGGTCTACTTTTGGCAATTTTTCCAACAGGTAAAACATACTTTCTTTCCTGATGCTAACATAGATGAGAGGGTTATATGTTGAATGTAAGCCTGTGTTTGCTTCATTAATATGAATTGCAGTGCTTGTGCTTGTATGGCTTTTACATCAGAAGGGATTCTTTGACCCTCTTTATGACTGGTGGGAAGATCATTTTTGGGCTGATAATCAAATAATCCGAGACACAAGGAGGCATAGTATTGGTGATAACCACCACCATGTTCGTGTTAAGAAGCATCATGAGCACAAGTACAGGCACCACAAACATGGTTCTCATTATAAGCGAAGTAGCATTCAACATGGGCACAGGCATAATCATTCAGGAATGGATAATGAATATTATTATTATCTCCACCATGTTCACAAGGACAAGCACAAGCATCGACGATCCAGGAATACAAGAAGCACACACCAAGCCTACTTGGACAGGAGGGAGATTGATGGTGTAAGCCAACGCAGATGCAGAAAAGAAAGAATGGAGTACCTCTAAAGATGACATAGTGAAGAATCAGAAGATGAATTTTGAAGTAAAGAATTGGCTGCTAGATGGGGCATGTTTCGTATAAGAAGTATATCAGCCCGAATATCTGTATCTCTGTTCCTCTCTTATTTTTAAATAGAAAACCAAAAATTCTCCTTTTTTCTAATACTGTCTTCTTTGCAATTGTATGATTAGAATACAAAGCTTTGTATATGACTCTTAGCAAAACTGTAATTCAATCTTTGTTTTGAAGATGACATCTGTATATTTTTCTTCAGTTTGTAAAACTTTTCTACAGTCACCAAGTGTATTCGTGACAATTCTCTCTTGCAGTCTGAAAGAAGCTATCTTTGTAGGGAGCTTGGTTTTTGCCACTTGCCGTTGTGACCTGTGTTGTTATTTATTTTGTCCAATTATATTATCATTTTTTTTATATATTAGTTGCATAACAGGGGATAACTTTTTTTTACTTTTTATTTTACTTTATTCGCATGTTATGTGATTCAAATTCAAAATATTATAATTATAATATTGCATAAAGTTTAAGTTTACAACACAAAAATGTTATAACTTTCGTTTAATAACACTTTTTGATATTTTAATTTTTGGTTTATATATTTTTTATGATTTTAAAATATATAAAATATTAATTAAAATAAAATATTAAATATATAAAATATATTTTATATATTTTTAAAAATTAAAAAATTAAAAAACTTACAAGTATAATTACATATTAGTGTTATCAAATTGAATTATAATTATAATATTATATGATATTATAAATTTATAATATAATATATCATTATATAATTGATTTTTTAGTTAAAAAATCATCCATAATATTTTACAAATTAATTTATTTAATATTATATTATATTTATTTAGTATCATCTTATAATTATATAATTGTGTAATTGTTAAGTGTAACACAAGTGGATGGAGAGAGACTTTCGATAAGGATTACTTCACTACTCATTCTTGCCCATGGGTATGGACCAACTGGATCAGTCTCCATATAGGCTTGGCCAATCTTAAGCCCACCCGAGAAATTTTGAATTGGGCTCACGGCATGCTTTAACTTTTACAAGATTTATATTGGGCCTAAATTCTTCAAACCAAAATCCTAATTCAGGTGTTTAGTTACACTGGATCGGTCCTCTTTGACAAGAAAAAAAATGCCTTGGGTCAAGTAAGTTTTGAAATTTAATTTGCATTTTCTTTTGACTTGTGATTTGATTTTTTCTTTTTACTGTAATTACAAGACTATAAATAATTGTTTCATAAAAATTTTCTGGATCAAGCTAAACAATCTAATTAACTCAGTAATATATTTTTTTAAAAAAAAAAAAAAATTTAAAATTAAAATAAAAGAAAATTTAAAAAAAAGAAGTAAAAAAAAAACTAAACGTAACTTAAAATAAAACAATAAAAAAAATCAATAAATCAAATAACATCTAAATTCAAAAAAGTTAAAATATCAATTTAGTCCCTCAATTTTTTCATTTATACCAAAATTGTCTTTCAACTTCAAAAAGGCATCAAAATTGTTCTGAACTTTAATTTTTGATATCAAAATAGTCTTTAAATTTTAAAGATAAGTATCAACCTAGTTGTTAAATTTTGAAGACAAGTATTAATTTAGTTCTTGAATTTTAATTACAAATATTAATTTAGTATTTTAACTTTAATTATATGTCAATCCAATATGTAAATAAAATTATATTACGATAGTAAAATATGATTATTTGATTTTATATATCATTAATATTTGACAAAAATTATTAATTTTGTAATAAAATAACAAAATATGTGATACTTATGTTAACAAAAAAAAATATTTTGTATTAAAAATTAAAGTTCAAGAATAATTTTAATATTTTTTGAAGCTAAAAAATAATTTTAATATAAATCTAAAAAGTTAAGAAATTAAATTAATATGTTAATCAACTCAAAATGTTAGGCCAAAGAAGTTGCAAATCTGACCGAAAGAATTCGATTCTTCATGAATAAAATTTGGAGTTTGAATTCTATAAATGGAGAAAAAAATATGATTATTGGATATCGAAAGATTAATAAAAAAAAAAAAGAAAAACAGATTGTTAATCTAAAATGCTTATTCATCTGACATTTTACAGTAAAGATGAAAAAGAAAATAATATAACTATTAGGGATTAATGTAATGCAATTTAAATTATATATTAAAATTATAACCCGTCCTACAAAGTAACTATATTATTAAGTGCCTTTTTTTATTTCATCAAACTCAAAGGCCAAAATGGAATAAATCCCATCCCCCCGAATGAAAAAGAAACCAAAAGCAACCAACCATGGAAAAATCCACCCTCAGAATCAAAAAGAAACCAACCAAAACATAGTCTTTATCATATGGAATATAGATTCCGAATGCATCATAGTGCTGCTTGAGCAGCAAGTTAAAAGTCATTCTCCTTGACACAACAGCAGAAGATTGCAGAAACTCCCAATATCCAAAGCACAATTATCCCCAAACAGCACCTTATATAAATTTATTATATATCTCTAATTTCTCCAATTTTCTTCGCAGGAAAAAAAAAAAAAAAAAAAAAAAACACACATACTCAGTCTACTACACACGTTTCTGTGATACCCAAATTCTTAGCTCCAATACTGAACAATTTCTGCAATGGCGAGACCAAATCAAGAAGCAATCGACATGTTTATGACCATAACCGGTGTGCCCGAAGCAATCGCTGTTCAAAAGCTGGAGGTACTTAGTTATTTAAATCTTTTTTTTTTTTTCTTTGGTTCGATTTGTTTGGAGAGGGGTTGCGGTGGAGGGTTGAAGGGTTGAATTGAATTCGATTATTAGTTGGGTTATTTGGCGGTGGATTTCTGGACTAAGTTGTGTATTAATGGGTTGAACTGCAAGTAGATTGTTCGGTTTTTCGTTTCGTAATTAGGGTTTCTCTTTACTTCTCATTGCTGATTTACGTGACTTGAAGAAGATTTTTGATTTCTTGATTGCAATTTCATTGTGGGGTTTTTAGTGACTTAACTAAAATTAGAGTGGTTATCAGATCATTTATACCCCAATTTTTTGCATTTTTTTTTCTATATGATAGATAAGTATGCTACTCCGTTTAGTCCAGTTTGGGTAATTAACTTGAGTATTCCTAACTTTCAGTAAGATTTCTGTGCCTCTAATTCATCTGTAACTTTTTTGCTTGCAACCAGGAACACGGCAATAATCTGAATGTAGCTGTAAATGCACATTTCAGTGAAGGGGATGGAAACATGTTTGTGGACTCTACTATTATCATTCCCCACGTTTTATAAACAATTGTATTTTTACTGCTTCATTCTGATGTGATGATTTTCTTCTAGGTCCAGGGCTCATGAAAGATCTATTGCCTCTCCTGAAGACAATGTCATGGCAATGGATGACCCTGCTGAAGTTGTGCCACCTAGACTTCCTCAGGCTGCAACTAGAAACCCATCATCATTTCCGGGTGCAAATTTTCGTAGAAGCTTCTTGGATGTTGTTTCTAATATCACACCCCGTGAACCATTTGTTTCACGTCCAAGAGAGGTGAGGGAGATCCCCATAGAGGATAAGGATGGAAATGAGCCATCTAGTCGTTCTCGTAATGCCCCCATCATTGAGGATGTCACTGAAACTGCACAAGATCATGGCCCAGGTATGCGTGAAACTGCTATAGTTAAAGAAGTGGATGATGACTCAACTGCGCAGGGTGTGAGGCAGAATGATAGCTTTCAGCATAGAGGTGTTAGACCCCATGCTCCTGCCTTTCATAATGTGCAAGACTCTAGAAATGACATAGAAGAGGAAATGATTAAAGCTGCCATTGAGGCTTCAAAATGGGATGTTGAGGTAAGCTCTTTGACAAAATGGCTCATGCATGCACTCCATGGAACTTTCTCCTTGGACTCCATGATAAATGTTTGTTAGCTAATGTCTTTTAATCTTTTTCAGGAGTTAAGTGATCATCATCCCCAGCATAATCCGTCTCACTCCGAGGATGCTGAACTTGCAGAGGCAGTCTCGTTATCCTTGAAGGTTTTTTATTCTGTTTGGTTAAATTGTATTTTGCTTATTGTCATCTCTTGCTCTTTTTAACACAAACAAATTCAGACAGCAGAGCAAGAGAAAGCATTGCGTGAACTGGGATGGATGGTTGGAGAATCTGAAGCAGGAGCTTCTGAACCTGCAGAAGTGCAGCGGGAGCAAATAACAGCATTGAATGAGAGGTATTTCTTTTGTTAGTGATTAAGTGTTAGATATATATTATATGGTTCTCGATATGAACACATAGGCAGTTAGATATTTAGTTGCCTATTACTTCTAGTACTTCCTTTTGTGATCATACCGAACGGAATGATGGTTGACATATATTTTAGAGGTGTGTTGGAGAGAAGAGGCTAATATAGGTGTTTTGAGTTGGTATAGACCAGGGACAGGGAGCTCTTCAATCCAAGATGAAGCTGGAGATGTGGAGGAGCAGCCACTGACTAGGCATAGGTCTTCCGTTGGCTCTATGGAGTCTTCTCAAGTTGGACTTATTGAGTCTAGCCCACCATCAAGTCCTGAGCAGGAAGCTGTAGGCAATCACCCACCACATGATGGAAACACCTTCACTTCAGATGAGGTATCATACTTTTTAGTTTCTGCATCTTCTGTGAGAACTTAATGCACTTTCAACTTGTATATTGGACTCAGGACTTACTGCCAACTAATTTCTCCTGGCTATGTTGTTTACTAACTTGAAATTGCAGTGGGGAGGCATCTCTTCCGAGGAGCATGATGAGGCAGTTATGCTTGAGGCTGCAATGTTTGGTGGAATCCCTGATGGTGGATATCATTTTGCATATGCACCGCATCAGTTCATGCAGCCCAGGGGCTCCTACCTCCGTCCTCCACCTCATCCTCCATCACCCTCCTCGGCAACCCGGCGCTTGATTCGGGAACAACAGGTTTGTTTTCTTTGATCTGACTCAAAAGCAGATTTTTTAAATTTTTTTGGGCAACCAGTATTTGTCTAACTGCTTATGCTTACATGAGACATTCAGGATGATGAGTATCTTGCATCCCTTCAAGCTGACAGAGAAAAAGAGTTGAAGGCCATGCAGGAAGCTGAGGTTCGTCGATTAGAGAAAGAAGCAGCCAGAAAAGCTGCTCTTGAAGAAGAAAGGCGGAAAGAGGAAGAAGCTCGCTGGAAAATGAAGGAGGAGCAGGTATTAGTTGCACCTTGCAGTCCATGAATTTATCTGGAGATAGGCTAAGTCCATTTTTTCTTGGAAGTTCTATATGCTATGATATTTTTAATTCTGCTTTGTCGGCTAATTTTCAGAATGTTTCATTGATTTTCTGAATTGAAGAATTACCCACTTTTTTGGGTAATAAATAAATAAATAAATAAATTTGTATGAATTTTGCATAAAAGTGTTTGTGTTTGTTAAAATTGATAACCAAGTGACAATGTGTTGTTTTCAGATATAGCACATAATAGCTTATCAGTTTTGCTTCTTCATGGAAAGTGCTACACTGCAAAATTGAGTTCTAACTTCTAAGGTTTGCATGCTTCTTCAGCTGTGATTACATCTTGTATGATTCTTGTTACTTGCAGGAATTCGAGAGACAATTGGCAGCTAAAGAAGCTTCTCTGCCTCAAGAGCCAGCAGCAGATAATGAAAATGCTGTGACCCTTATGGTCCGCATGCCAGATGCCAGCCGCCGTGGTCGGAGATTTCTCAAGTCCGATAGGCTTCAGGTAGAGTCTGTTTACAACAGCTTGTTTCCGTGAAGTTTTCTTTGTGCATGCTAACTTTTCACTGGCTGTATATCTTGCATTTGTTTTGCAGTCTCTTTTTGACTTCATAGATATTGGTAGAGTAGTCAAGCCTGGCACTTACAGATTGGTAAAATTTTCATCCATAAGCACGTATCTCCATGCTTGAAATTCCATACAATAGGTCTTAATTTTTGTGTTATATAATCTCACTGGCTGAACAGGTGAGGCCATACCCAAGGCGTGCTTTCAGCAATGCAGATGGTGGTTTGACGCTGAATGAACTTGGCCTAACAAGCAAACAAGAAGCGCTGTTCCTGGAGTCAATCTAGTACCAGTAGCATCTTTAATATTATTATTATTGAAATTCACTGCAAAAACCTCCTTAAAATCCGTGAATCATGGGATTCACTCCATATTTGGTACATTGTTGTGCTGTGTGGGTGAAATGCATGAAATTCCAGGTTGTACAATGATAATCTGATTGGAAATGGTCGATATTTGTTTTCATCACGCCCATCCTATCATGGGAAATTGTTGTTCTGTTCTGTATATATGTACCCTCTGATGATATCAAAATATCACCTTTACCACAGATATATAACTCTATTCATGCCGGGATGTAAAATCCTAATTTTCATCGGGTGTCATGTTTTGCAATTCAAATTATATTTAGCTATAAAATATGAAAAAAAAAATGATAGGGAAGGATAGTTCTATCTAGTTGTTTAAATTATACTATCTAAACAATACAGTATCTTACTGTGTAAGGAAGTTCTTAGACTTGGCATAAGGTGGCGTGTTGGTTGTGGCGTCAACATGAATTTTTGGAATGACGTGTGGGTGGGTGATTCTTCTTTGTAGAATTTTATTACAGGGCCTATTGATCTAGAAGCTCTTACTATGCCGATTGCTCACTTGATTACACCAAATAGAGAATGGAACTTAGATTCTTTGAGAAACCTGTTGCCGGAGGATATTGTAGATGAGGTTAGAGCAGTTCCTCTATGGACATATGTAGAGTTGGAAGATGAACTTTTTTGGGCAGGGACTTCTAATGGTAGCTTTTCAACCAAATCTGCTTTTCAACTACTCTAAAAGTAGGAAATGGGTTATCTTGCTATTGCTTCTAATTGGAATTGGGTGTGGAAATTACAAAGTTTAGAGGGAGTGAGGATGTTTGTTTGGTTAGTGGTAAGGGATAGAACTTTCTGCAACTAGGTTCGTTATAACTGACACCTTATTGACTCTCCAAACTGTCTTAGATGTGGCTTAGTTGCTGAGTCTTCCATTCACATATTGCATGACTGTCAATTTGCCAGAAGGATTTAGTGTAAACTAGGAGTTCAAGTTCAAGATTTTTTCACCTTGGACACCACCCCTTGGATTAAGAAATTTGCTGCAGTTAACAGTAACCATAGGAGTATGGGAATCCCCTGGGCATGTTTATTCTTGTTGGCTATTTGGTTACTTTGGAAAGACTAATAAGCTAGTCTTCGACAACATTCATATTCCTCTGCTTGTGCTATATTCTCATATTGTTTAGCATGCATTTTACACTTCGCTTGCCCAATCAAATGTAATTTGTGGAAGAATAAGAGAAACTCGTTGGGTTAGATGGCATCCACCTGAGGACGGGTTCTTTAAATTAAATACAGATGGTTTGCTACGACAAGGCCCAGCTAGTACAGGTGCCTTATTACGGGATTCAAATGGGAATTGGCTGCAAGATTTCCTTGTGAACATTGGTAAGGCCACAAGTTTAGTTGCAGAATTATGGGGATTGAGAGAAGGCCTCAAGCTTTGTCTCTCGCTGGGCATTTCTTGGTTGATAGCTGAAATGAACTCTTCAGTTGTAATACAGATGATTTTGGATAATGGCAATACTAGAGGACAGGGAGCTGCTCTCGTTATGGACATTAAAACCATCTCTGGTACATTTTCTTCCTTTGTCCTTCGTCACACACTTCGTGAAGGAAACACAGCAACTGATTTCTTAGCTTCTTTGGATCATACGGCTTATAATGGAGTCACCTTTTTGGATTCCCCTCCTGTTGCTTTGCAGCAGATTCCTTTTGGGGATAGAGTATGTTTTAATTAGTTCATTACTGATGCACCAAAAAAAAAAAAAAACTCTTTTTATTAGCATTGGTGGGCCTTAGCCCAAATGGAGCAACAAAAGGTAGATGAAGAAGAATGTGGGCCTGATCTCCCACTTTTACCAGGTTGTCTGCTTTTTCTGTCAGCCCAAAACCCAAAAAAATGACAAGACTGCTAAAAACTAAAAGGCTTCACATTCACACCTTGGACTTTTAGGAAATCCGGTCAAAGTTCAGTGATCAATTACGTAGACAAATTAAACTCTGGCGCCCCCCACTAATGGCGGCTGAACTCACGCCACGTGTCCCCACTTAGCCTAATACGACAAGTCGTTATGGAAGTTGAAAAAGCCCCATAATCTCAGTGCCTGTCGAAAGGGGACAAAACAAAACAAAACCAAAAAAAGGTTTGCACACACAAAAAGCCGAATACTAAAATAATTGTGCCGTAAAACGCAACGGTCAAATAGAACGGGAACATCACGAGATAGATAGCCACGTAGACTCCACGTGGGATGCCGTAGCCAGACAGAAGAGAATCATTTCCACCTTTTTTTTTTTTTGCAAAAAAAAAAACCTTTCTTAAGCCCCTAAACTTATCCCAAAATAGCATTTAAGTTTTTAAACTAAAAATAAAACTGATAAGCCCTACTACTCCATTAATGATGGAAATAAGTCTTTTTTCATTCATGAGTATTCATACTTTCAAGATAATATTAAACATGAAATACCATTGCCTTTTTGTGAGCAGGGTTTATTTGCATTGTTAGTAGAGTTGGAGGACTTATCTGTTTTATTTTTAGTTTAGGAGTTTAAATGCTATTTTAGAATAAGTTTGGGGGCTTAAGAGGAATTTTGCCCTTTTTTTTTCTTTCCTTACGAAATTACACAGATTGTCCGTACACCAACTCCCTCTCCAACGGTCATATTTCACCGACACACTCCAACGGTCACTGCGACTATTATTATCTACCGTCTGATTGAGATCTAACGGCTCAAAAACGAAGCTTCCTCTGTTCTCCTCGAACTACCCCTTTTCACTCTCTGCCATCATTTTTTTCAAATGCCTGCCGGTAAATAGACCCAGAAAAAGCAATGATAGGGACGTGCGAAGAAAGTGAGGGTGTAATCTAGGTGTAGTAGTGTACTGGTACTAGGCCGGTAGTAGTAGAGAGGGGGAGAAGGAGAACATGAATAAAAAGGTTTAGACTTTATAGTTAGTATATAAAAATAGAGTTGGAGTATGGTGTATGGTTCTTTTGGGTATTGAGTGTTTGAGAGAAGGCATGTCTCTTAATCTGCTGTTTCTCATCATTGGTTTCTGTTCCTTTTCCATGAATGTTTAGAGGTTTTTCAAAGCTGGGGTTGCTGGGTTTTGCTCTTGGTTCAGTTTCAGCCACCATGGAGTCGTTGAAAATCTCAAATGCTGATATGGGTCTCCGAGTTTCTCAGGATTTGAGGTACCATTTTGAAAAAGTATGTCTTTTCATTTCTGTTATTGATGTTGATTACATTGTTCATAGCCTTCTGCCATGAGTTCTCGGTGAAAGTTTAGGAATCCGATGATTGTTTTCTTGTAGGTGTTTAATTAGTTAATTCTTCAATTCTTTGATTCATTTCGGGGTTGGGGATTTTTTTTTTTTTTTTATCATTTTAATCTTTAGTCATTTCATACACACACATTGTTCATATAGGATCACTGATATATACTCTGTTTCTGTTATATTCATCGGATTCCATTTTTTCTTCTTGAATATTCACACACTCACAAGTAGTCTATCTCTCTAGGATTTCTGTTTTCAACTATATACATGCAAAGATATAGGTGAATTTGTACATCAAAACCATAGATTTCATAGTTCGAGATTCATATAAACCAGAGAGATAGGGAAAGGAACAGAGAAAACTGGGGTGGGTGAAGTGGAACCGAACAAAAAAGAACAAAAAAAGAAGATAGGAAGGTTGTAGAGACATGTTGGCTGGGTGTTCTAGTTCTACATTGCTGTCACCGAGGCATAGATTGAGGAGTGAACCACCAGCACAATTTCAAGCTTGCCATTTCCCAATGAACACACAGAGACTGGACTTGCCATGTAGCTTTCCTCGCAAAGACACTTCACGCTCGCAGAGCATTAGGCCGGTGGGCCTTTCCGTTGAAAAACCACTTGAATCCAAGACCAGCAGCTGTTCTCTCAAGCCGACTATCCGGCTACCGCCGTTGGCAACCAGCGCACAATCGACATTTGAAGGAAGGAGAGAGATTAAGGAAAAGTTTTGGGAGAAGGATAAGAGTTTGAAGAGGTTGGCAGAACAGAGTTTGGGTGATGATTCTTGCATTAACAGGGTGAAGAGGAAGAAGGGTAGCAGTGATAATGGGAATTCTGATGATGGTTTGGGGTTGGGTCCCGAGAATTTCTGGTTTCAAACAAGCTTCACAGGCCAAAACCCTCCTCATGTTCCTTTCTCCCTGACTTGTTCAGGGGATGAAGAAAGGGTCTGTTTTGTGCCTGGTGAAGTGATATCACCTCCTTTGCCTCTTTCCAACACTCCCTGGATCAATTCAGTTATTGAGATCGCAGAGTTGGGTGAAAAGGAAGTTGAAACAATCCAGGGACAGGGACCGGAAGCTTCAGGATCAAGTACTTCGTCAGACAGCCATAGCTTGGGCCTCAGATTAAATGACAATGGCACGGAGCATGAAGTTGGTAATGGCTCGGGACATCCTTATCCGCATGAAGGCGCCAGTGTGGAGGCCGGTCAGGAGGACAACGACAATGGTGAGCATCAGGGGTTTGAGCTTGTCAGCCTACTCACAGCTTGTGTTGAAGCAATTGGATCGAGGAATATGGCTCTAATCAACCACTTCATAGCTAAGCTGGGGGATCTTGCTTCTCCAAGGGGAAGTCCCATAAGCCGTTTAACAGCTTACTATACAGAAGCTCTTGCTCTTCGAGTCACGAGGCTTTGGCCTCTTACTTTTCACTTGACTATTCCTCGAGAGCTTGATCGTGTGGATGATGACAATGGGACTGCATTGAGGCTATTGAATCAGGTAAGCCCGATTCCAAAGTTTGTTCATTTCACATCGAATGAGATACTGCTGAGAGCATTCGAAGGGAAAGACAGGGTTCACATCATAGACTTTGACATCAAGCAAGGACTTCAGTGGCCTAGCCTGTTTCAGAGTTTGGCTTCTATGACTAATCCTCCGAGCCATGTTAGATTAACTGGCATTGGTGAGTCCAAGCAAGAGCTAACTGAAACTGGAGACAGGCTTGCGGGATTTGCTGAGGCATTGAATTTGCCTTTCGAGTTCCATCCAGTGGTGGACAGGCTGGAGGATGTGAGGCTATGGATGCTTCATGTCAAGGAGAAGGAGAGTGTGGCTGTAAATTGTATGTTTCAACTGCACAAGACGCTCTATGATGGGGATGGAGGTGCACTTAGGGACTTTTTGGGGTTGATCCGAAGCACAAACCCTTCAGTAGTCATCATGGCTGAGCAAGAAGCAGAACACAATGTACCCCATCTAGAAACAAGAGTCTCCAATTCATTGAGATACTACTCCGCCATATTTGACTCAATCGATTCTAGCCTTCCCTTGGACAGTCCGGTTAGGATCAAAATAGAGGAGATGTTTGCGAAGGAAATTAGAAACATCATTGCATGCGAAGGAAGTGACAGGCATGAAAGGCATGAGAGTTTTGAGAAGTGGAGGAAATTGATGGAGCAAGGAGGGTTTTGGTGCATGGGGATCAGGGAGAGGGAACTGCTTCAGAGCCAAATGCTGTTGAAGATGTACTCACGCAACAACTACAGCGTCAAGATGCAAGGGCAGGATGGCGCAGCACTTACTCTAAGTTGGTTAGATCAGCCACTGTATACAGTCTCAGCTTGGGCACCAGTTGATGTTGCAGGCAGCTCATCCTCATTTTCTCAGCCAAGTTGATCGATTGCAGCAGCAGACTTCTTTTTCTTCACACATTCAATTACTTTCCATACAATTCTTGCATACAGAAAAGGATACAGAATTCTTTGTAGGTAGAGAATCGGTCATTACAATTCTTTCATTCTTTTCTTGCAGATAAGATATTGTCAGTCAGATTGTAGCTTCTTCATACCAAAATGTCAGTTCTTTTTCATACCAGAATTCTAGCTTCAGTATGTAGTATTCAAAGTCAAATTTGTGTTTATTTATTGATTCTTATGTATTACTAGTATTATGAATGAAATACAGTTCTGTCATTTTCATTTCATTATCATGTTCATTTTGTTCCTTGAAGATTTACTGGAATTCTGAACATATTGGAATTTGGAAATCATGTGAAAGACGTCATTTATTTGTGTTCTTTCTTTGGACCTTCCATTCATTTTTTGTGTTTTATTTTGACACATACAGACTGGGCCAATGAACTGGGCTAAGAACTTGTCGCCTTTTCTGCCTGATAACTAACCTTTATTGTTTAAAAACAGCATTATACAACATTTAGGCCTTATAGCAGATATACAATATTCTTCCAAGGAAAACATGTATGATTTTTCTTTAGATAAACCAATATTTTTCTTTCAACATAAAAAAGAAAACAAAAAAGATCGATTCCTTATAGTGTACTGTTATAATTAGGTGAACTTTTCCATCAGATTCATATAGTTGTCATTAAAGAATGATATTTAGGCTGTTTGCTTCATTAAAGCAGACATTTTGATGCTGAGACATACAATTCTTTATTACCTTTCTAAGTTCTTTAATGAAAAGAGGGATTGAGTGAGTATCTAGGGGAGAGGTTATTTAACAGGACAGAAAATTAGTTGATTGCTACAATTTGCACTTGCTAGTGGCTGGAGATGACATTGCAAGCTGTCCCTGTGGCCTACCAATCCCTTCCATGGGCCTCTAAGGTCAGCTTCAAATTACTCAGCAGAATACCATAGTCACATGAATTCTTCTCTTGTTTGTTGGTTCCTTCATCTTCAGTTGTCAGCATTATCTACAATATTATTAGTTGTCACCCTCAATCTCATGAACCAAGTTGGAGTTGCTTAACCACAAATTAAAAAACCCTTCAATGATCAAATTCAGATATTTTCTTTCATCATATATTTATGAACTTTTTAGCTTTTAAGATAGGTTTTTCCCTTTTTTATTGTCCTAAGATATTTGGACTGACTGATACCAACCCGACATTAGTGGTCAAGTTAGAAAATGACTTGGGCAATGATAAGGCAGACATACCAGACTCGCACTTAGAACGTGATGGATTGAAGGTTTCTGACCACCAATTCACCTTTTAGGAGATTTCAAAACCTAACTTTGATATGGACAAGTGGATGGGAAAAAATTAAAAAAAAAAAAACAGAATGCTTATCATCTCGCAGGGCAACAGCCTATGGTTTTCCTTTGGATTTAATGCACAGCAGTGACGTGGATGGAGAGTGGTGGGGGGTGGGATGATTTAAGTCACTACTCACTGTAAGAAATTGTGTCATAGAGGGGGGATTTAAAGTACTACTCACTGTACGAAGTTATGGATTTTCTCAGTAATGGTTTTTTTTTTTTTTCAAATGGGTTGAAATTATTATTATGCCCTCTTAATAACAATCATTTCTTTAATGATATTTGTTAAGTAAGAAAACCCTATATCAAATATAAAAAGCAAGACCAACGAGGAGTTGGATCAAGTGGCAAGCGATTTATTCCAGTTTAAACAAGATTTCGAGTTCGAGAGATTATGTACGCAGCAGCTTTTGTTGGGAGACCCACCCACCATTCTGGTACGCCACAGCTGATCGAGTCCGGAGTAGTCGGGGCGAAGCCTCGGATACCGAACGGGAAACCAAAAAAATATAAAAAGCAAGAAATTTATGAGTTAAATATAAAAAATATCACTTCAATTATTGTTGTTCTACTTTGAAAGCCTTTAAATATAAGAAATATCACTTCATTTATTATCAATTAATTTTAAGTTAAATGTTTATATGTGAGTCTT